TCTGGCAGTTCTTGTGGATTGAGGATGATGTGTGTTAGGTGTTTAGCTAGTTCCTGGTGCAGTGATGTAAACTTTTTGTACCAGAAATTGTGAATGTTGTCTTCCAGGTGGCTTCCAGTTCTGTGTTCTGTTAACAGCGTAGCGGATGTTGTGTACATTTATTTCAGCACAGGGCATAGTTGGTATGTTGTACAAGTTTTTATTCTCCTTCTCGATCCAGTCTGCATCAGTGTTGTGTGTAACAGCACTGGACCAAAATGAAGACCAATAAGTTGTGAGTTGTTCTGTTGGTGTACCACTATACTGTGTATCAGTGTTTGTTTTGGTACTAATTTGTCTGTAAAAGAGTTTTTTGTTGTTTGTAAATAATTTATTTTGTTATTTTCATAGTGAGCATGGTTTGTGTTATTTGAGTCTACATACATTGGCTATGAGTTTTTGTTTTAGTATATCAATGTATTCTGTAATGAGTGTGTTTTGATTTTCTTGAAAATGTTTTTGAGTTGTTTCTTTAATTTGGGTGTTATGTTATTTTTAGTATATTGCTGTCTAATGTCATTTATTTGTGTTTCTATTCTTCTCTGCAAGGCAGGCTTGTGATAGAATTGCGTTTTGTGTATATCTATCTGTGATTGTATTTTCAGTCCATGGTGTGTCACTACTGTGACTGCCCCAGCATAAACTAATGTATGAATGTCTGAGAGTGTAGAAATTGAATAAATGTAGTGTGGTAGTAAGTGAGTGTTTACATAATTTAGTGTTTTTCTACTACCTTTGACATGTTGATTTTTGATATTTGTGGTCTTTGTGTGGAAACTGTACCTGTATATATATATATATATATACAGGTACAGTTCCCACACAAAGACCACAATAGTGTCCTATGAGTGTTTCCTGAAATAAAAGTGAGATTATATTAACTAAATCTATGTCTATGTTATCAGTGGTGGATGGGGAAGTGTCTGTAGTTCTGTAGTATTATTAGTGTTAGTTGTTGTGTGTGTGCTATTATCAGTGCTTGTTACTGGATTATCCTGACAGGTTACGTGATCTTCATTATTAATAAATATTTCTGTCTGTTGATGAATTTGATCAGTCACCTGTTGTTTGATAAGTTCAAATGTTGTTTGTCGGATAAGGTTGTTGTGTGTAATTATTCTTTTTTGATCAAAACCCTTTGTTCTGAGACAGTGAGGTGAGGATATTGTGTGAATCTATGGTGTAGTTGCTGTCTGTATGCTGTCATGTTTGTTTCGAATCTTGTGATGATGTAGTAAGTAAAAATGATAAACTTGTTCATTTCCATTGTCCATTTCATTCATTAGCATGGTTTTCCAGCCTTTGTGGTCTGTGAATGAATTGCCACAGAAACACCAAGGCTAGGTTGGTTCCTCACATCTGTTGAGAGCATTGCAGTAGCCATGCTTGGGCCAGTGCTGTTTTTGCCACCTGTAGCCAAAGGATACTGTGGTCTATTTCTTGAACGTGAGCCTCTGCCTAACCTGTGCTACCGTGTATCACAATAGTTCAGCCAAGATCCATGAAGCACATCATACTGGTATATGTTTTAATGTGTACATGTCTTTTATATTTTAAAATATGGTTTTTTCATAACATCTTTTAGAGAATTATGCAATTTGTATGAAACAAAAACTTGTTTATTTTTATAAGTAATACTGGTAGTATTTTTCCTAAAATATCCACATTTATGAAAAAGTATTTCATATATTTAATAGAATATAAGTAAATTATTTTTATACATTTTATATTAGAATATAAATTTAATAAATGATTTTTTATATCATAAAACCAAACTCAATTGAAACTACCAGATTTTTACCATCTATTTTTAGGATGATTAAAATTAATTACAAACTAATTTGACAGTAGAGATAAACAATGTCACCAACTCTTAATAACTTAGTGATTAATAGCAATTCATTTTCATGACTCAATAACAACTAATTAAATAATAATTGAATAAACTAAGTTATTACAAGTTGCAACATATGATTTAAATTTTGACCAAGCATTAATTTTGCTGTTATTCTTTACTTTATAAAAAGTTTTTTAAAGGTATTATTATAATAAAGTTTTTAGTGTTAGATTAACTTATTGTTAATTTCTAATTAGTTTAAACATTATCTGATAAAATCCAGCAGTTCACTAAATAGATTAACTTTATTCAAATCAAGATTTATGATTGCTGTTTACTCTAATTACAATTATTCATATATTAAAAATAGATTTTATTGTACTCATTTTGAATTGTTACTTCGTTATTAATTTCTTACTGTAAAGTTGATTATGAATTTGGATTAATAATACAGCAATAGATTTGATAATTATAATCTTATATGCAAATTACAAAGAGGCAATCTTTGAGCAGTTACAACTTTATAACTTTATATATAAAACTAGCTGTTACCCGCTGCTTTGCTCGTGTGGATTTTACAAGCAAACTCTATTTACATTCAATATTTCAACAACCATAGTAATTGTTATTTAACACCTATCGCTGAGAATGATGAGAATTGCTGAGAATCAAATGAACTATTTTCAATTTGATCAATTTTCTGGAACGTTTACAATTGTTCTATAATCAAACCAATATGCAAAAAGAAATTTGAATTTAAAACGGTTCGAACATTTGGTTAAAAAAATCGAAATATATAAAAAATATTTATAACAGTGTCTAAAATGTTATCAATTTAATACCCCTAAGAACTCAATGAAGACAAAACGCAGTTAAAAACAAAAAATCAACAAAAAATCTGAACTAGTACAGTAGAAGCCGTTCTTCAGTTTAAGCCTTAATGCTCTCCCTCTCCCCCATGGGGGAATTTTGAAAAATTCCTTCTTAGTGTGCATTTTCATGATGTACCCTAACTGTGTACCAAATTTCACCTCTAGGTTATGGAACTTTCTAGAAAAAACTGGAACATTCTCATTGAAGTGTCACACATTTTCGAAGTCAACCACTTTCAAACCCCATATCTCTCACACCCTTATAGCTATCGAGACGCAACCACCATAGTGCACAATGGGAGACTTGGGACTACTACCACACTCAAACACCATTCATGTGTGATGTGTAGTTATGGCTGCAGAGTGAAATATAGGCACAAACACATCCATTTATATAATATAATAGATTTTATACACATTTGATTAGTTTCAGTTCACATTTTAAATCTATTCAATAATTATTGCCATTGCTTTTTGTATTTTACTTTTTAGGGAATCTATTATGTTTATATATGGAGTTGTCATCAATAGTCTTTTAATGGACTTTAGACTTTTTTGTTCTTTTAGTATACATTGGCAATGCTTTTTTTCATCAAATAAATTTATTTAAATAAGCAATTTATAAGAAATTTCAATTTTTTAATTCAAAATTTTATAAAAGTTTACTTTCCTGATATAATAAAAATTGTTTACCTTGAATTATTACTTATTACATTCAGTTATTTATTCAATTAATTTGGTAAAAATTAAAAATATATTTACTTGATATGTTTCTCATTCAATGTATCTAGCTATATAGTTATATAACTAGATACAAAAGTATATCAGGTTATTACCTTATAGTTATATAAGGTAATAACCTGATATACTTTTGTCATTATGCATTTTAAGCATCTTTTAGATCAGGGGTGGGCAAGCAAGAGTTCAGTGGGAGCTGAAATGTAGGTTTTGCAAAATGCATGAGAACCACAGTCATGTACTTTTTTATTCTGTACTGCAGTTCTGTACTGCGATTTTATTATATAGTATAAATATTATATAAAATAAATATTGAATTTTTTTAATAAACATATTTTCACAAAATTGTGGAAATAAAATTGTAAAAATAATAATAATAAGCAGAAATTAACATTTTCAGCAAGAGCCGCATGTAACTCAAAAAGAGCCGCATTTGCCCATGGTGGTTTTAGATAGATTGAATAAAACTTAATATTTTTTGAGCTGTGTGATTAATATAAAAGTTACTGTTCTGTTTTGATTATATTTAATTTTTTAAATTTACGATAGAATATGTTGATTTTTACTTTCCTGGCTGTTATATATAACAAAAGGAAAGTATGGTAATTGGTCAAAAAATGAACCCCTGCAAGATTTTTATATTTTTAGTCTCAGGACCAAATGAAATATTGAGAAATGAAAAAAAAAATTGAGGTTTTTAAAGCCCAGATCAAGTTGCAATTGCAAATATTTTAATTGCTATTTCATGCATTGTCAAAGAATGGAATAATTTTATGAATAGTTCAATTTCTAGTAATTTAATCTAATTGTATGCCAAATACTTAATTTTCTTTTATTTTAAAATTTGCCATTTATTATAATAATAATTTCTTTCTTAAATCATAAATTAGAAAGAGAAATACAGTATGTATTTATAACTTCTAGTTAATGAAATACAAATATATAAAGAAGAATTAAAATTTAACTATGCCAAATTTTGAAACATTTAATTTTTAAAATAATGTTAAATTATCAAAAAAGTACATAATATACTGTAGATATGTGACAGTTAAATATGTAGTCTGTATATGAATAACAGTAATAACTGAAAAATGATCTATTACATAATTTCATTAAAAAAGTGAAGTCTTTGAAATAATTTTAAGATTTGAATATTATTACATTTTAAAATGAGAATTTTGTTAAACAATTTTGAACAATTAAGAAATATAACAAATTTTGGATAAATATACTTTCATATTTATTTAATGTTCTTTAATGCAGAATTTTATAAATTTTGAAATAATCATGAAAAGAATCATACGTATGAATAAATAAATAAACGAATGAAAATGATAAACAACAAACACAAACAGATGACAATGAATATGTACAGATGAAAATGATGATGATGATGATATTTACAGATGAACTATGTACATTATATACAGCAGAACTGGTCTGCAAATATGAACTTCTCCACAGGGACGGAGTTTTGTCGTGGAATTGCAACAATTAATTAAAATCAGAATAATTGGTAAAGATATATTATAATAAATAAGTTATAGATACATACCAAAAGAAGAATCTGAAAAGTTTCTTCAATTTAGAGAATTTTTCTCTCTTTGGTACATGTTCCTTTGATTGACTGGCATGCACATCGGATGTCATATCCTCGGCTACCCTGTTGTATCAAAATGAAAAATTCAAATTAATCGAAAACTATTAAAATATTAATTTCAATAATAAATAATAATCTTTGTTTTTCTGTAATATATTATTAAAAGTATTTCATTTCTATAATATAGAAAGAACGCAGAAAATCATATAAAAATACGTATTAAATAAACATAAAATTCTTACCTGTCGAGACAATGGCTAACAGCTTCCAGCTCGACTTTCTGATGATGATTCTCACATTCGTTTTTATCGACTTGTCGCCAATGAGAATCAGAGTAGCCGAAACAATCCTCGGAAAGATCGAGAACAATATCCGAATAGTTTGTTTCTTGGTAACTTTCCAAGTCACAATCAAAGAAATCATCCCGATCATCATTATCGGGATCAAATTGCTCCTCGCACGACTCTAGCTTTATATAAACAATACAGAAAATGAGATTAAAATATTACATGTTACCTATTAGATACGTATTAAATAAATATAAGAATCTTACCTGTCGAGACAATCGCCAACAGCTTCCAGCTTAACTTTCCGATCACACGATACCTGAGGATTCTCGCATTCATCGCAACAAAAGCAAACATCATCATGTTGCGAATTAGAATCACCACAGCTGAAACAATCCTCGGCAAGATCGAGAACAATTTCCCAATAATTAGTTTCTTGGTAATTTTCCAAGTCAAAACTGAAGAAATCATCCTCGTCATTCAGATTTCTATCCACATCTGCACTTATCTGCGCATCTTCCACAAATCTCTCCATATCGAAATCTGAAAAACACAACTCGTCAGTTATTTGTGTCTTATGGTCATTCGCCATCTCTCATCGTCGATGATCGGTTCCACCGAGGGTAGCTTCACTGATGATGGGTCTACATAAACACGTGCTATCACGCAATATAAAATCAAATTAATCAAACGTATATTTTTCGTAAAGATTTATGTTTATTATTATTAATCAACCTCATCAATGTTTACATCGTGATAAAATATACAATATTCTATTCAAAATCAGTTACATATCGAAATTTATCTCAAAATTAATTTCTTATTCTAGTTCTTTGCTCTTAATTAATTAAATTTAAGTATCTTATGATTGCCTAATAACAAATTTCGAGATCGGTAATTCTATTCTTATAAAGATATTTGTACAGTGTATTGTGTAGGCTGTCAAAATATTACTCACCTTTATATAAAACGCAAATAACCTCTAGAAATAACTCCAAAAAGCTCCAAAATGTCTTTCACATTCGAAAATCGCCCACTTTCGCAACAAAGAAAGTGAAAAGTATTGTTGCCCACATTCTTGCGTTTCCGCGTGACGTCGAAGCCAATGTAGTAAAAATATTCGAGACTTTGAATATCCGATTCATATTTATTTCTCTTTTAGCAATCCTTATTATGAATGAGTACTGTACGTTAATTGCTGTGTTTTTAAAAACTTTTTTAAATCTTCAGAATTGTTCTAAAATTTTAAAAATTGTTCTGAACATTTTTAAAAATATTCAGAACGATTCTGAAGATTTTTAAAGAAATTTTAAAGCTTTATCTGCACCCAAATGCTTTTAAATTTCTTTATATATTAAAGTAGGCCTAAGTGTACACGAGCAGAAAAGTTATTTATTAAAAGATGATAATACTGAAGTTTAATTTGCAATAATTTAAATGAATTCGCTCATAGAGTGGAAAGTAATCAGTTGCAATAATTAAAGTGTGATTCGCTCACAGAAATGGCAAGTAATCAGTTGCAATTCCCAGGTATTCCTTTTTATTTTCTCGGCTGTTGTGTATAACATTCGGTCGGTCAAAAAATGACCCCCCTCAAAAGATTTTTACATTTTTGGGTTCAGGACACCATAAACGTCGAAAATGAAAAAAAAAATTGGGGTAATTTGTGCGCGTGTGCGGGTCAGTTTTATTCACCCTGTTTGAAGCTTAATAACTCCTGCGCATTTTGTCGAAAATTTCTGAAATTTTGCAGGGAGGTTTGTTTATTAGGAAATTGATGCTATTAAATTTTGGTAGTTAAAGGTCGACGGGGTGGGGAGATAATGGGGGTTGTGTATATACTGGTATCTAGTAGAGTTGGACTTAACGACGATATAATTATTTAACTCATTATTACTATTTACAAATTTTTACAAAATGCATCCTTACCTTCAAAATTAAGCTTTTTGCCATTTTATAATAGTTAAAAATATAATTTTTCTAAACAAATTATCATGACAGATGATGCCACCAAATGTTGCTGGAAAAGTTAATTAAGCAACATGCTGCTGGATTTTTTTTTATTCTGTAATATCACTGTAAAATTGAAAATGTTTACATATTTGGGCTTGTTCTAATATCAAATATTCTACAGTTGTTATTGTTTACTTTAAATTTTAATTTCAGCCATTTGATGTATTCATAAACTGCAGATTGCCAAAATAATTGAAAATGTTTTTTAATATATATAATACTTTTTGTTTTATTTTATTAAATAGTTAATTTATTTTTTGATATGAATAAAGTGCTATTTCATCCGTTTTTGATAGTAATTTTGTCAAAATTTTGAAATTGAATTGCTGTTTTTATACTGCTTTGTCTTAATTTAAAAAACTAACTGTCCATTCTAAACTTCAATTTTTAAAAGTATTCTAATAATAATTGTTATTTAGTTATTAAAAAAAAGTTACATCGTACAGCTATATATGTTAAAGCACAGAATATAACTTTTACTAAAATAACTTTCAAGTTTAATAAAACATTAGTTTGTTTCTTCATTTTTCACTTAGATACATTATTATTTATCTTTTTTTTTATCATTTAATAATACAAAAAACTTTCTCAAGATATATGTGAATTGATGCCAAAAATTTGAATATAAAACTCATAAAACAAGTGTTGGAAAGATTGAGTCAAATGGATATAGAGAGAAAATATTTTTTGAGATGAAAATATCTTTCAAGTAATCTTTCAAGTACTTATTTTTTGAGTTTTATATTCTATTTAAAATAGTATCCTTTATATCAAAACAGGTGTCACAAGAATTCTACTTCTTTATGAATTTTAAAGAATGGAGAAAAATATAAACTGAAATGTAGGACAGGGCTGTAGAGTTGATAAAAATTACCAACTTTAACCTTGATATAAATACATTTTTAACACTTTTGTACAGTATGACATTGTTTAAATGTGTAATTTCTAATCTTAATATTACTATTATAATGAATAATATTGAATTTTAATTTTTATAAATTGTAATGTCATTAAATTTGAGAAATAAAGAGAAAAGCCATAAAGTTATAGCTGTAATAATCATTAGACTTATACTTAAATATGAGCTATAAGTTTAAAATCTAGTAATTTACATGATGATATATAATATGGTACCCAGAACTATTTTAATATGTTTATCATTAGAGATTTCATTATGTGTGCATGATTTATGCATAATGTTTATCATTAAAGATTTCTAAACTGGTTTTTACAGCTTTCTTAAAAGTGTCCCCCTTTCTTGATTTTGTTTTCATTAGTACAGTATAGGTTTTATGACAAAAGTTAACAGTTTGACAGAGAACTGCCTTGAAGCAACATTCATTAAGTGTTGAAATCTGATAGAAGAGGGACTAGTCATATTTTTAACTTATAGAAATGATGCAGAATATTTGCCTAAAAGATAACAATGTTGATCAATACCAAACACCATGAGGCAAACACAAAGTTCATATTTCATCTAAATAAGAATTGCAATGTTTGTGGTTGGAAATATTGAAAAGCTTTAGGTTTGTTTCCTTTCATACTTCTAAGTAGCAAACATCAAATTTAAAATCTTTGGATCTTACAACTAAATATTTTGTATCTTACAGAAATATTTAATATAATTTTTCTTAATAATTTTTGACTATCCAAACACTGATTATAGCAATTATCAGTGTTTAGATAGTTTAGATCAGTGATAAACCATCCTTATTGCTATATTAGATAGTAGTGAAGATAAATTCACTGTTTTCTGTTCTGCTAAGTCAAAGATCTGGTTCATTTGCTTGTTCACAATTCACAAATTTTGTATATTTCAGCACTTCTAAAAGTAAGAAAAGTTCCTTATTGTGAATATCCATATTAGAAATACATACTAAGCTTTTGTGAAAGAGTTTGAGTTACAGCTGTGGTATCTGTACAAAAATCTTCAATATAAGATGTATAAGTAATAAAACAAGTAAAACGGCAAAGCTATTTTTGTAACGAGACTATGTCTCGGAGAGTGCGAGCAACACATGCACAAATCTCGCAATTGCACCTGTTTGTAGAAACAGTCTCACATTTCATATTTTCTTTTGGCCCAGTTTTTCGTCCCCTGACTACCTATAAGTCTGGTTTATTTATGTGCGCATGATTTGAGCATCAAATACTCTGTGCCAAATTGCAACTCCTGACATGTATTTCTTCATACCTCTAAGGTGTGCAGCCATTGACAGCAGTGCAATTTTAGAGATGAGCCATCTTGTCAATTATGTTATTCTGAACTTGCATTTGTAGTAGTAATTCATTTTTGTATGGAAATTTCCTTACATAAGTTATACAGAACTTTAAAAATACCTAGTTAAAAATATTGAAAATTATGAATTTTTGTTTGAATTATTAAATGAATATTACAGTAGAAAAATAAATCATAACTATGCCTAATTAATTTTACTTTCCTGGCTCTGTTACATATATAACAGAGGGAGAATATGGTGATCAGGCAAAAAATGTCCCTCCAAGATTACATTTTTGGACTCTGTACCTTGAATGTCAAGAAATGCAAAAAAAAATTTTGGGGTTTTTTGTATGTATGGATGTGTTTACCCTATTTGAAGCTTAACAACTCCTATGCTTTTTGTTGCAAGTTTCTGAAATTTTGCAGGGAGGTTTGTGTATTAGGGGGATTGATGCTATTAAATTTTGATGGTTAAAGGTCGAGGAGGTGGGGAGATAAATAGGGTCATGTGTCATATCTTGAGTAAGGTTGGACTTAATGATGATTTCCCATATTATTAGCATTTACAATTTTTTATAAAACCTATTTCTGTTGTCAAAATTAAGTTTTTTGCTATTTTATAAGAATTAAAATATAAAAAAGTTTTTAATAATAAAATATCATAATAGATGGCACCACACACAGTTTTAAATGTTGCTAGGAAAGTTAAGCAACTCATTTCTGGATTTTTTTTTATAATTCACATTTATTATACTTTATTAACTGGCTCAAAAATCATTACATATTACTTAAATTTTAATTGTAAGTATTTATTAAAATTTTACTAGGATTCAAGAAACATTTTTAGTTTTTTTTAACAAATATTAATTTATAATGAAAAAATAATTAAATATGTGAGAGGGAAAGACAATATTTTATACTTGACATATAAAATATGATTATTACATATTTCTAGTAATTATATGTAGATTAGAAAAAATAATATAAAATTATATGAATGAAATTTATGTCTAGATAAGATTTTCTACAGCCTCTTCATCAGTATCTAATATTCTGTCATAATATGGTAATTGAGATGTGATGAGAATGTTATATATGTGTTATATGTAGACTATAATTCATAATTCTAAGATTTTGGAATAAATAAATAAATAAGATACAAAAATAAAAACATTTTGATTCATTAAAGTATTTTAATTTATATACAATGTTTTAAACAAATTTGAAACAGCTACATGTTGTTATTTGCAGTTATCATTTTTTCTTGGTTTCAGACCATCTTGTGTATAAGTTCTGTCAATTTTATAAGTATATATATATATATTATTAAATAAATGAAAACTTTATCAAAAAATTTATCATCTGAGATTTTGGTAAAATTGAAATGACATTCTAAAATTTCTGATGTTTCTTTTATGGAATTGATAGATTTATTTTTGTCTGTTTTTGCATTATGAATTTTATTATTCTGTATTATTTTTCTGTACAATCTAATTTTTGCATTAAAAATTATATTCTGTTTTGAAGTAATACAGATACATAATCTTCTATCCAAACTTCTAAAAAACAAAAAGTTCTAAAAACCAAAAAATTTTTATGAAGTTTAACTCCATTCTAAAGCTTGCATGAAGGCCAGCATGTCTTGATATTATGTGCTACATCAGTTGATGCTCCAATTTAAAAAAAAATCAGAACTACTTCTGCACATTTATACATATATTTGTGATTTATTATCACTTTGAAAACTGAATAATTAGTAGATTAGTGTGAAGCAAAAATGGAAGCATTTTTTGTTATTGGTAGCACAGAAAATATAATTATATCATGTTAGTATTGTTTAATGCAAGACTTTGCCGTGTCTTACATTTCATATTTTTCAGATTTCAGAATGGTTTCTGGTCTGAGAGTTTTGGATAAGTTTGTGTATCCTTATATAATTTTTAGATCATTTATGGTAAATAATGTCAATAAAAATTGGAAAGTTATTTTTATGATTGATTAATTTTAAACACAATTTTAAATTTCATGTAGGATTTTGATTAAAAATTAAATTATTTACAGGAAATGCAACAAATGCAGATGCCAAAATATGATGTGCCGGAATTATCTGAAATGATGACAACCTTATTTACAGGAGGAAAGAAACCTCAGTTAAAATCTGCAAAAGCAGCAAAAAAACGACAATAACAATACTTAATTGTAAATAATATAATTTATGATTTTGAAATGAAACTGTTGTATGTTCATAAAAGAAGAAAAAACAATTATTGCACAGTTGCTGTAAATAAATGTTCTGTATGATCTTTCTATATTTGAAAATTTTTCTGATCATGTAAGTTGCTAAATTTATAATAAATGTAGAAAAAACACATGAAATTCAATTAATAATTGGTTTTAATTTTTTATATATTTAAAATATTCAGTTATGTATTTTTTGCTTCTATTAATAGATTTGAATATTTGAACAATATCATCATCAATGTAAGATAGTGTTCTAAAAAAGTATTAATAGATTGAGTATTCTGATAAGAATAATTGAAAGAATAAAGAAAATTGCTCAGATCTCAAATTAGTCATTCTAAATTCATGAAAAATCTTTTTGTAAACATAACAAAAAACAAGCATAAAAACAACACGAAACAAGCATAAAAGTCCAAATTTTGTAAATTATGCTTAGACTTTATACATATTACCCGGTAAGCAAAATTGTCTAGTGTAATGAATACATTGTAAATTTATATTCAACATTATAATAATTTTTCTACATACATCATAAATTTATTTCCAGTAAATTTTTCTAATATGTTTTTAGGAATTCATAAAATATTATAAACATTTTGTTTTTGCATAATATAAAAAATGGTAGTAATTTAAAGAAAATATCCATGTTATTTTCTTAATCACCATTAAATTGAAATCATTTTGTTTTTATTTTATTTCTTTTAATTAAGAAAAATTCAAATTACTTTAGTACAGTAAATTACTGAACAATTAGCTAAATTTTTATAAAATATACATTATCAGAGATTAAAGCTTTTTATTTTCCTATTTTATTTTAAAATAATGTTATTTATATTTTATTAAACATTTATTTATAAAACTTTTAATGACAAAGTTTTTAAGATTTAATAAATTTACTGTTTATATAGAATTTTTTTCATTTATCAAAATTAAAAATATAAAATTTCTTGGCTCAGATTCAAGATTTACTATTGCATTCCTGTTACAATAAAGAATCCATTATGTAAATTGTAGCCATTTTCCTAATATTCTGAAATAAACAGATCATAAATCAAAAATTTTTTTTGTGACATTTTACATTTAGTCATTTTTATGTTATGATGATCAACCAACTAACAACTGAAGCAAATGGGCAGAAATTATTTTTGTTGTTGGTTGGTTGGTTGATTATTAATTCATCAGGTTATTGGGAAGTTTACATATATAAACATGTGATCAATTTGTCAATTACAATAGCTTAAACAATTCAGTTGTTTGATGTATTTTATTTATTGTAGTACATTTAACTACCAGTAAATACAGTGGTGCGTCATATAACGTGTGCCTTGAATAACGGACTGGCTGCAAACAATGGACTTTCTGCAAACAAGTGTGAATGATGTTTCCACTCTTTTGCCGCTGCCAATGACAATCTGCTACTTTTATAATATATTAGTATTATTAGAATATATTAGTATATCTGAAGTACAGAGCTCCGGTTGGGATTCGGCTTGCTCCCTTGTTTATTACGTACATCAGTGCAGGGTATTTACATTTATTCAAGTGTTGTGCAAATCATGGCTTCTAAAAAAAACAGAAAGGTGATTTCAATTGAAACAAAGCAAGACATCATCAGGAGTGAAAGTTGACAAGGACTTCCTTGTCAACTTTCAAATGGGGAGAGGTTCAGGAGTTTACCTACACTCCTTATCCAAACAGAGCTGAGGACAACAGGATCAATGACACTCTTGCCCGTCATTTCCGACAGATGTTGAAGAAGAGAGAGAAACAGACCACCTTGGACATGTTTTTCAAGAAGCCAGCTACCAAAACATAAAGGATGGAACAAGAGGAGTTGACCCTGCAAGCTCCGGTATCCTCTCCTGAATCTGACTCCAATTAAAAAACAATAAAAAGAGACCTGCTGCAATGTGTAAAAAGTCTGTATCTGTATGAATGTGTGAAGAAAGTGTTCCTCCATCTCCTCCTCACAACATCTGACTACCTGGCATAATTGGTGACTACTCCATTTTCAATTTTTTTATGGTACAGTACGGTTATTTTATGCTGTGGAACAAATTATATGTTTTAACATGTATTTCTATGGGAAAATGCGTTTCATATAACGGAGTTTTCACTTAACATATGTGCACCTGGAATGGATTAAGTATATTATACGAGGCACTACTGTATATAGGTGGTTATTTTTTACCTTTACAATAATATGAACTTAAAGTTAAGCTAAATTTTAAATATTTCAACATTTGTTTTTATGAATACTAGGAAGACTGACAGTTCAATTAATATTAACTCACTTAATATTTTTAAAAAGCAAGCAAATTTATAAAACAAAAATTAATGAAATTACTAAAAAAGTTTATTTTAACTTTTTTAATAAAAAAAATAAATTTAAATTTGATTATCTTTTGTGTGAAACAACACAATTTCTATAATTATGTTGCAAAAGAAAAAAAAAGTTGCTATTAATTAAAAAAAATGTAATGGTTCAAAAAATGCAAGGAAAATTAAATAAATAATAACAATAAATAATTATAAAAACTAAATTAATATTAAATCAAAAATTTAAACTAAAAATAATAATTACATTTAAAATAAAATAATTAAAACTCTGGCCTTTACACTGAAACCAAAATTAAAAATAAAAGTAAGACTAATTAAAATCAAATCAATTGAAAATTAAAACATTTTTAGAAACCATTTAAAAGTTGCTTTGAAATTTTCAAATTGTAGATCAAATTAATTTTTAAATTTACATTATTTGCATGGTGGTGACTGAACATTTTGCTTTTAATATGTATACTGATAAATATTATAAAAACTAAAACTGTATATCTGTATTCTGTATATAAGCAAACGTTATTATTCAAAAATCAAACTAAAAGAACAGTTGCTATGTGAACAAACGAATAGCTGTCTCTTCTACTCCAAGTCTGAGTCAAAAGTGAAGTGTTTTTGTGTCTCATATTCCTATGCAAAGACATTCCTTTCCTTCCCCTTTGTTAAATCTTTCCATGAATTTATGCCAAGTCCACAGAGGAAGTTAATGGATGATCCTTTTCAGAAATGAATTGTAGACCCCACAGGCAACCTGGTATGACTTACTTACACACTGCTTTGTAAAGTGTTGGTTTCAGTTTTTGTGAGGATGGAACATTTTGCTTTTAATATATATACAAATTATACAGTATATAATAATAATCTTTAAATCAGAGTACTTAATTATCAGGAAAACATGGCAAAAACTTGTTTTTTTTATTTGATTAGCTATTGCTTAATGAAATTCTTAATAACAAAATTATAATTTATTATACTTATTATTATTACTAATCATAATTGATTGATTGTACAAAAAATAGTAATCTATTTTTACATAATGACATAAGATATGCAAAAAATTATTGTTTTTGTAGTAACAAAATTATTCAACTATTGATTATAATGGGAAACAATACTAATTAATTATTCAAACTACTATGATTTGTTTGAGAAAGGTTAATGAACTTTCATATTTAAATATTTAGACTATTAACTGTTTAAAGAAATCAATATACAGTATTTTAACTTTATATCTAACACACTATAATTTATATATGATGTGTAGAAAAAAACTCATAAATACAATATTCAATTTTTTTTATAACAATTGGCTTGAACAAGCTAGTTTCAGAGTGCCACTGTACAGGGTGTTACAAAAAGAATGGCTGGTGATACACAATTGTATGATACCTACTTCAGTTTTGATTCAAACAATAAATACCTGTATTCTGTTTAAATGATCATCTTTAATTAGTTCAAATAATGTAATAAAAAATTACAACAGTAAAGCCAAATGAATGTAAAAAAATTACTGATAGATGATGATTGAAATAATCTACATATGTAACCATGCATTGTCCAGCCCATTAATTATCTCACTTGCCCAAAAATTTTTGCTGCCATCAATTTTATATTCTCTGGCAAAGATCTGCAATATCCTGAACTGGAGTATAATACACTAAAGCTTTTAAATGACTCGATAGGTGGAAGTCGAGGGAATTGAAGAACTGAGTACTGTGTGGACCAAGTATATAGGTCATATATGGCCATCTTTGCAGCAACATGATAGACGTCATATCGTATTACAGTCATGATAACTTTATCATCAGAATTTTCTGCACATTCTTTCACTATATCATTTTTGTTGACGTCAGTTTCATTTCAGATTCAATAATCAAATTTTTATCATCTGATTCAAGTAACATCTGCTGTAATTTTTCAATGTCCTTCTCATTGTTAATTCAGATAAAAATAATACATTTATCTGGCTAAAAATATGTGTTATCTGTTATTCAATATTTTCATTTTCAAAAAGATTGAAAAAACATCTAAAAAAGTAACGAAATCTCATAACAAATCATAGTATCTCTCAGATACAAATTAAGATAGGTAAAACTGCATGTCTTTCTCAACACTAACAAAAAAGAACTGATGAAACAATGCTAGCTAATCAATGTTGTTAGTCTCTTAACAGTAGCTTCTCAAAGTTACCAGACAAAAATATTTTAAAATTTATTCTGAATGCATCTATGAGATCAGTTACTACCTCTGAAGTGTTTTAATTAATTAAACAAAATTTCAGATATATTATTTACTAATAAGATTTTTAAAGATAACAGAATTTCTTAATCAGATAAATGTAATCTTTTTAGCTGAATTTTATATTTTTGATTGTGCAAATCAGAAAACATAGATAAAAAGGAAATGAATTTTTCATATATAATATAGATAAAAATTTGATCAAATTTTTTACAAAAATCTAAAGATCAATGTTGCAATTCAATATTTGAAAGAAAAGAATTATTATACAAAAAAATATAAAATATACTTTTATTACAAATATATTAATACTAATTACCAAATAACTTTTAACATTTTGAAAATATTTAGTGACTATATTTAAAATGGTGATTTTTCTTACATTTTTCAAATGAAAAATATACATAAATGTAAAAAAATTATTGTTCCATATAAAAACATGCTAGTTTCTATGAATAATATTAAACCAAAATATACATGATTTCTTCAAGTTAAGCAATGGAACAACAGTATGTATTGAATGAGTATCTACTGTATATTTGATCCAGAATGAATTCTCAACCTAATCA